TGGTTTGCTTCTTCAAATAAACCACTTTCCGTCTATAAAACATGACAAAACAAAATATGCTGTAGGGCAGCCCGTGTCATCTCTAAATAAAGCAAGAAAAAACAATGTTGGTAGTATACCTTTTCCTTCTCTAGCATTAACTTAGAATTTGATCCAAAATTATTCTTACACGGACCTCTATAGATGTGCTTGATCCCACATTTTCACCATGTAAGGAGATAAAACATTTACTTTCCCCATAGTTAAACAGCATTACATTTCCGCAAAGAATAAAGTTTTTAATTGAATGTTTTGAGAGAACAATAAAGCACCAATGCAGTGATGGATACTTTTGCACTAAAAAGAATCTTTAAACTAACATCAGTACATATAGTGAAAGATACATAAATATAGTGAAAGACTTTTCTTGGTAATTCTATACAAAAGAACAACATTCATTTTAGGACACTCCCTATAGCAGGTACTGGAATGTCAAACCAGCAGGACAACTCAGAACAAGTCCTTAGTTTTGTTAAAAAAATTGATATAACACAAGTGTACAGTCAAAATTATGATGCATCTGCATCAAAGTACAAATTGGTAAACCAGACATCAGTTTCATAAACCATAAATAAGATCACATCATTGCTTCATTAAATTTTTGGTTACAACAAACTCAGCACAATAAGTAGGGTCAATATTATTGAAGAGCACACAAAATAATAGGTTTGTTATAGGGTACCAAATATGTCAGTTTCAATGTGGCATTCTTCAGATTTCAGTTGACTTAGCTGGTTTTGTCAAAATTATGTTGCACACCAAACTTTGAGAGGAAAAGGAGTAAATATTTATGTTACGAGGACAAACTAAGACAACACACATACATCCACTAAAGAAAAAAAAAAGAATTCATATAATATTATGGTATGGATTCTAAAAAATCCTGCTGTTTTGACTTCACTTACTTATCAAGTCATTTAAAATATTACATCACAGCTCTGATAGGTAGAAGTTGCGGGGATAACCATAATATTCATGCCCACAAGAACAACAAAACACCTCACAAACATTATTACTACATTTTCAAACATCAAGACTGATATGAAAATTAGGGTAACAACATAACTGGCAGGTAAGAACTATGGCAGGCAAAGTTAGTATATGTATTTTTTCAATGAGAGTTAGGGGTTTCCCTCCTAGATCATCAATGGCTACCACAATCCTATTAGTAATAGCAAAACATTAAATTCGAATACACAGACTACAGGAGTTACAGACACATAGCATACAAAAGAACACATCTCAACAGTATTGAAATTAATGAGATTAAGTACAATATGTACAATGTACAAAAGGACAATACCAAAAGAAAGACCTTAAGGTTTCACAGATCAAATAAAATGTGATCAATTAATTAAAGTGTTACTATTTATTTAGAGATAAAACATGCATCTGCATTTGATACTAGGAGTACTTATGAAAAGTGCATAATGGTCTGGACAAAACTTGAATTTAGTAAATGCTTTACTAGTATTTGTGTCAAATGGGAGCAAGTCCAAACTATTAATGAAATCTTTGGTTAGTCTAGGACTTTGGTCCTAAGAGTAATGTCAATACATCAAACCAATAATAACAATTTTATAATTCCACAATTTTGGATTGACGACAGTAGTTAAACTGTTACTTTACTATGAGCAACAAAAATGGGAGCACGGAGCACCATGCAACTAATGCTGAAAATAACTCATAGAACTTCAAACAAGATATA